ACTCCGTATTGTGTTGTGAGATGGGTGAGAATCCTGGCTTGAATATCATAAGATTTGGAGGTTTATCTGTTACCTCATCTAGGGACAGCCTGAGAGGGCCTCTACCTGCCCACCAGTGGAGGAAGGATGCATGGTGTGGCAGGATAGGAGAACACCAAGAATCTTCGTGGAGTTCAAAAGCTTCTCTGAGAGTGAGAGCTGCCGGAGGTTGACTTGGCAATCCATTGGCAGCCCCCTTTGTCCTCTTTGGCTTCACAAGGTGAAAAATACTAAAAATGACTCAAAACCCCTTTGGTTTTCTGTGCCTCTGCAGGGCCTGCAGTAAAGTGTAATAAAAGCAGAAACTGAGTAGGAAGCATCTGAAGTGGGAAATGCCGTTAGGCTGGCCCGTAAAAGATGAGTGCTATGAGCAGTAAAATGAGCTAAGAAGGAAAACATGATGAATGTTTTCTCGGCTTTAAGCAGCAAGATCCCATTTCACCATCCCACATGGCACTGTATGCCTGGCTGGAAAAAGCAAGAGCCTCTGTGCAAAGCCTGACTCAGGGAGTGTGGCAGTTGAGCCTATCCCTGGGGCCCCAGCTGGGGGAATGGAGTGGGGTGGAGGTGTCGGGAGATGGGAGGATGCAGCTTGATTTCTTCATCACCTCCCAGGCCCTACTGACACTTTCCAGGCTGAAGGTTCCCGCTGAGACACCGGAGGAAATCCTGAACTGCCCAAGTTACACAGCAAGCTCACCTCACACAGGGAAAAGGAACGCAGAGGTCATGGTGTCAGGAACAGCAGGGAGAACTTGATGAGATTTGACTCAAGCAAGTGAACGTCCTCTGCTTCAATCCCGCTGCCACAGCACATCACACCACACAGAGAACATGCGTCTTTGCTGTGCTGGCCCCACCCTCGCACCAGACACCTTCCTCCTCTTCCGTTTACGCAGTTTCCATGAATTCTTCAAAGTACAATTCAAGTTCGACTTTCTCCATGAAACCGCCTCTTTTATCATAGTCCCTATAAATCTCATTTTTTGAAAAATAGACTAGTGGAGAGGCCTGGGTTGGAGTTTCGCCTTTGTCACTTGCAGGCTCTCTGATGCCGTGCACATTACTAACCCCTGTAAGTTTCAGTTTCCCTGTCTATAAAATAGGGATCGAAATATAAATCCTATGGGGTGGCTACGAGGATTACAGGATATTACCTTGCACAATGTGTAAGATGGAACAAACACTAATAAAAATTAGTTTTCTTCTGAAATTTTGCAGCATATATGGTCTTCACCACCAATTTAATACTTTGATTGTTCGCTGTTTCATATGCATGTAGTTTGGCTCCTCAAGCAGGGTAAAATGTCCTTCTGGAACAGAATGTCCCAGGTCGTTATGGAGTGCCAAGCCATATTTCATATTTTTGCTTATTAATCACTCTTCATCATTAATCTGACTGATATCAATTGGTTGGTTGATCATTAGTTTTAACCTTTTACAAAGTTAGATAAGAAGGTGCCTCTCATCCTCTAAGAAGGTCATGAAAACATGACTTTACTCGGGCTGTACAGAAGAAAGATTCATATTTTTAAGAGTCTCTAAATGACTCCAGTCCCAAGAGTACTTAAAAAAATTAGTATCAATGCTACAATGCTATTATAAAGACAAAATTGCCTGGCCTCCACTGACACAAGACCAGCAGAGCACGTCTTCAGTGAGGTATGGCCACCTTCAGCATGAGTTAGAGTAAGCCAATTCTAAGAAAATGTCTGCATTTGTACTGGCTCAAATGTCACCCTCTGAGAGAAGCCCTCTGAGAAAATCCTATCCAAATGAGTCGCCATTCTCATTGGCCAGTCATTCTCTATCATTCTATTATTTTTAACTTCCTCAAAGTCATCATTGCAATCTGAAATTATTCATTTACTTGCTAGTGTATTCAGTATCAGCCTCCCACCAGACCACGAGCTCCTTAAAGGCAAGAACATGTCTGGTTGTTCATTGCTGTATTCTCAGTGTAGAGCAATGCTTGATAATGGGCAGTAAATACTATTTACTGAGTTGAACCGGATGAAGGTTAACATAGGCATGGGGAACGAAGCTATGACCATAAGCAAAAAGCTTTTGTGAAGTGCATATTTGTGGCTGGGTTTCCTTAGGGAGACAACTGTCCTTTAGCTTGCTGAGTGCAAATCGATGCAACAGAACTTCTCGGAAATCCTCAAAGTACCAAGCAATGAATTAAACACTTAGCATCAACCAAACAGCTCTGCTCTTGGATCTCAACTCTCATAACTTCCACTAACAAAAAACTTTTCTATAGAAAAAGATATTAATCTATATAGGCTGTAAGAAAGTTCTGAATAGCTCCATCTTTATTAAATTGCTACTTGAATTGAAATGCTATCATTTTTCCTCCAACACGTATTCATTTTATTGCCTTTGCAATATTTTTGTTCTTAACCTGCTTTTTCTTATTTCTATAAAAATTCTAAGCTTCCTTCAAAGCTCAATTGAAGTTCTGCCTCACCAGTGAAAACAACCTCCCCTTCCTACCTTAAGCATCTTCTCTGAATTTCCACCTCATTGTGAATGGCTGCCTAAAAAGTGAGCCCTTTCAAGAAAGAAATTATGGTGTGTATTTTTTTTATCCTCCATTATGTATAATGGATGCTTGCTAGCTGCTATTTAAATTTACATTAATCTATCACAGAATACCATATGAAGAACAATAAATCTTTGTTAATTTAGGTAGCTTTAACTTGGAGTAAATATTATTTAACCATGCAACCATTCTGCACCATCCTTAAAATGTGGCTTTGGTCAATAAATTATACAATGAGTATGTATTGAGATTCTATAATAGATCAGGAACTATCCTAGATATTGGGGAATCAAAGAAGAACAAGGTAGCCTTTCCCTCTAGAACAATGAGCAATTACGGAGCATCTCAGACTATGGAAGAATAATCCTTCTAATAAATAGCCCTCTGTGTGTAATCATTATGGAAATTACAATAAATGCTCACTATTTTGTGAAAGAGAATTGCATAGAGCACATTCTTCACAATTCTTTATCCAGCTTGTTTTCAAAAAGTCATTTTTATTACTTTTCCAGGTATACATGGAAACATATGCCATAATTCAGATGTAACTAACTTGGATTGTTCTAATTAACCCAAATTACAAAAATGTTCTGTGCTTAATATTCTAAATGATTATTAAAATTATTATTCTTACTAGTGGGTGAAAATATCGAGATTTCTACGTCAGGTTTTCTGATTGGCAGACTGTGATTATGGCTCCAAATCTCAAAGGGTGTTGGACCAGTGAACAATGTTGGTATGCTGCTAAATTAAAGCAATAATAACCACCATAAGCTTCACATGTAGTTGTTCTTGTTATACCCTTATGAAGCCAAGGGGTGATGCAAGGTTTCCAAATAGGAGTGGTTTTCTAAGTTTTGAGGCATGTCATGCAGAGAGAGCCTAAAATCCACGGAGGTACTCAGTCAGTCATTGCCCAGCTATTTTGATCTGATGGCTAATGGAATTACCTAGCATGCCACCCTCTGGAGTTATTCATAAAACTACAGCAATGATGAAGTTTTGGTTTGCTCTCCCAAACCAAACTCCATTTCCAGTGAATGGCTGTGGTGGTTGGCAACCTGAGCCCCCCAGATCAAACCCTGGTTAAATGGCTCAGTGAGCAACCAGTGTAACTGTCCGCCAGGAAACAGTCTGGGAGAGAAGCCAAAGCAAGAGGTTTGAGGTCCTGGCTCTGCTGTTTCCCAGCCACTTAAGGTCGGGCAGGTCACAAACTTTGACTTCTCCATTTGCAAAACAATACCTCCTGGCCTGTCCACCTTTCATGGTTATTGTGAGGCTCCAATGAGATACTATGTGAAAGTGCTTGTAAAGGGCAGAGTCCTAGCCTCTTTCCCACTCTCCCCATGCTGCAGAGATGGATTCAAGGAGGAGAGGGTATACCTAAGGTTCAACACACCAAGCAAAATGCAGCCTCAGAGGCACTCTCGCCTCAATCCCTTAAGATACATCTTCTTTCCTGATGGGCCAAGGGCCTTGTGGTACTGCTGAATGACAGGGCTAATTGCACAGACCCCAAGGTCAGATTGTCAGCTTCATCACTTCTCGAATATTTAACGTTTTATAAGCTCATTTTGTTCTGTAGAAAGTCCCGCCCCCCTCCGCCCGCCGCCCGGAAGAAAACCCTCAGGCGCTGCTCTGTTCTGCCCGGCAACAGCAAGCAGCCAATCATCGCAGCAGAAAAGCTCGCCAAGCCTCGGCCTATCCTGAACCGACACGTAACCCTCTGAGCCACCTCAGCAGTCTGCCCAGAGACGGACAGCCTATCCTAAGCTCCCACGACACCCCGCCAGCCCTGTGTCCACGCCCCGTCCGCCTCCCTATAAAACCCTCCTACCCCAGCTGCGCAGTCGCAGCCAGCCCCGATCTCCTTCCTTTCCTGGCCTGCCCGCTGGTCCCAATAAACCTGAACTCGGCTTCCAACTCTCGCTCGAGCTGTTACTTGGGATCGGGTACCGGGCAGGGGTCTACAACGGGGTCGCACACATTTCAAGATCGATAAAATGATGATTCAAATGTTACCTATCTCACAGCATTGTGGGAGGATGAGATCACCATGTAAAATACACAGTATAATATCGGGGGGGGGGGACACAATCAAAATGACAATTACTATTGGCCTCACATCGGTTTCTGCAGCTAATACGAAGGCAAAAATCCCACTAGAGTCAGAAGATCTGGTTTCAAGTCCTCATTCCCTCTGCGACAGGCTGGATGATGCCGCAAAATTCATCTCATCTCTCTGGACCGCAGTTAACTACTTAGAAAAGGATGCTTAGATTCACTTCATGGGGTCTGTATAAAGATCACATAGAGTAATAATGTCTATAAAATTTCTGCACTCATTTGGTAAAGCAGGAGGAAAATGCACAAGGCTCTTGTGTGATTCTCCCGTATGAACAAACATGCAGGAAACGGTTGCAAAGATTTTATTTAGAGGCTTTCTGTGCTTGGCACTTAGAAACAGTTCCGTGCATAAGGGCAAATTTCTATACACCTTTTCTTCATACATATTTTACATACCCTTTTATTGCCCCCTTTTTCATATTCATCATATTGGATTCCCCACTAGGCACATAAATACATATATCTACAACACCTCAAAACCAAAAATCTTAATAATATCTGTATTATTTTACTTGGTATTATTTGCATTTCCACACCATTTTAAACTTTTAGCTTGCACTAAGCTTCACTTGTTTTCTTATCATTACGAGATTTGAAGGGAAAGGGAAAAATGAAGGAAAAAACCCAAAACTTCAAAATGCAATGAACTATTTGATAAAAATGGAGATCTAAGGACAGGTAGAAGGGTATAGAAGACGCATCTGCAATTCCCTGGGACATGAGGGGACTTTTCCTGCCACAGGGGCTAGCGGGCAGGCATGCTAGGTCAGGTGTTTGGATCCGGCACGTGGAGGCCAGGCCTCTATTTGTTGCCTCTGCTCTTGGTATCATCTTCCGAGATTATAAAACTCTTCCATCTTCACACCCTCCTATTTCCCTTCCCCTGCCAGGCTGCAAGCTGTGGAATCAGCACTTCCCACATGGTGCACCTCTCCTCCGGATCACAGTGGTCAGAGCGGTGGGATCAGAACGCATCCCTTGCTCTATCCCTCTCACCAATGCCCCGACCATGCTCAGTGTTCCAGAGAAGTTGACTCCTCAGTAACGCCATGATTCTTCCTATAACCTGTAGTGGGGTGGGTGGGGTTTGGGAGGACAAACCAAAGACACATCTCCTTGGTGAATTAAAACTCTCATCGTTGCTCACACTTTCTCTCTCAGTCTTGCTCTCCACCTTTCACTTGCTCTCTCTTCTTTCTGTTTGTCTTTCTTGTATTCAGCTGCTCTTACTCCCTCTTTCCACAGGCGCCACTGGGAATGTCAGTGACAGCATACAAGTGAAGAGAGCCAAAGCTCAAAAGCAATCTTTTTCCAGAAGCCAAGTCCAGCTGTTGTACTGATCTCCTTCTGCTCTCATCCACGGGGAGGGTCTCCAACATACACGGTTCATTCCAGAAGCCGAGGAAGCTGCAGGACAGAATGGCTGGCAGCTACTGCCGACCCACTCCATCTAGGGTTGTACATAGACAAATTCTTGGTGAAAGCACCCATTCTGGACCTCCCTCCACAGAGTCTGCCCAGTTCAGAGTCAGTGTGCATGTATGTTTGCGTGTGTGTGAATTGTGTATGAATATATGTGTGTGTGCATGTATGCATAGGTAGGTCTGTCTGTATGTGGGTGTGTAACTTTTCATGGCTGCAACACACTAGCATCTCCCTTAACATTATGACGAAGTGATTATCAGTCTCTTCAAAGGCCACTCTGGAACAGACAATGCTTTATAAAACTAAGGTCTGGGAAGGCAGGAGAATGGCCACTGAGTTGTGGATGATTCTACCGCAAGTATCCTTCAGCGGCTTAAAGGTGTCTCCTGTTCTTGGGTATATGTTTTTCTCCAGAAAAAAAAAAAAATACACAGTTCCTGTTTTCCAAAGGCACTGGACTCCCAAAGAGGAGGATCTGCCCACGGAGACTCTGGGGCCTTGATTGTCATATGCTCCGTGGTGTTTGGACTGGCCTTTAAACCATGTGCACGGACATCTGGGAGGAGGAGCCTGGAACTGCCCCGTACTGCCGGCCATCACAAGCGTTGGTTGCCTGTTGGTTATTGGGTGAAGGACTAATCATGTGCATGCTGTGCTCCATCCCCGAGGGCAGGTACTGTCTCTCTCCAAAGGCCCCGTTGGAAGGAGAAGAACAGAGTAAAGTGCTTTGAGAGGCGCTCAGTTTTTCTGGGCTTGCAGCTAGCCTAGGGGAGGTGGGGAAATTGTATCCATACAGGTTGTAAGGGTTGTGAAGGGAGAAGGCATTGTAGGAGCTCTGCTGCATGTGACTGCCCCCGAACATGTGTGGTGATGAGGAGCTGGAGGCGGCATTACCTGCCTGCATGACATACTGAAACTGGGAAGTGGGGAACGACCCCAGCTGGCCACCGTAGGCTTCCATCTTGCTGTTGCCAGGCAACGAGGGAGGAGTTGGTATTCCTGAGATGAGGGATGGAGTCCTCTGAGGCATGAAGGTTTCAGAGGGCTGAGTGGCTGAAGAGGTGCCACTCTGGAGCCTGTTGTAGCCACTGTCACTCAGCCCTGGGTAGCTCTGCAAGGCAGCCATGTTGCTTCGGGCACATGGTGGATAATCAGAGAGGTTTAGATTACACAGCTGGCTCTCTCGGCAGCCCACGTTGAAAGTATTGGGGGCCAGATGAAAAGTTGGAGGAGAACAGGATGGAGATAAAAGATGAGAAGAAGCCGAAGGGGATGGTGTCCCAGTGCTGGAGGTGGTTGGGGAAGTGCCTGTGCTGCCTCCTGAAAAATAAAATGTGAATACTAGTGAAACACGGGCCTTTGAAGATGAGTCTAAGTCAAATCCAAGCCATATAGAAGGTGCCTTCAAATGTCCAAGATAAAGCTAACTTTGACAGAACCATTTTTCCTCCTAACTCAGCAGACCTGTGCTAAGTGATTCCACCTGTGGACACATACACAGTCATACAGGCATACACACATACATACACATTCCAGAAGATGACTAAAAGCAACACTATTTTTTTTGTTTCTCTCTGTAATAGCCTTAGTAAGTCCTATGTGTAAAAATAACAATAAACCTTCCCAGATTCATGTTGCCATTTCTCACCATCAAATTCCCTTTCTAATAAGACCTCTGGGAATCACCCGTGTGGGGCTGCAGAACAGCAAAGATTGCTGCCTGTTCCTTTCCTCTGGTAGCTTCGTCCCAAAATGATACCTGCCAGATCCCATCTGACAAAGGGCTACTACCCAGAATCTACAAAGAACTGAAACAGATTTACGAGAAACAAACAAACAAACCCGTCCAAAAGCAGGTGAAGGATATGAACAGACACTTTACAAAAGAAGACATATATGAGGCCAACAAACATATGAAAAAATGCTCAACATCACTGATTATTAGAGAAATGCAAATCAAAACCACATTAAGATACCACCTTACACCAGTTAGAATGGCAATCATTAAAAAATCTGGAGACATTTAATGACAATCATTAAAAGATGCTGCAGAGGATGTGGAGAAATGGGAACACTTTTACACTGTTGGAGGGAGTGTAAATTAGTTCAACCATTGTGAATACAGTGTGGTGCTTCTTCAAGGACCTAGAAATAGAAATTCCATTTGACCCAGCAATCCCATTACTGGGTCTATATCCAAAGGACTATAAATCATTCTGTTTTAAAGACACATGTACACGAATGTTCATTGCAGCACTGTTTACAATAGCAAAGACCTGGAACCAACCCAAATGCCCATTGGCAATAGACTGGACAAGGAAGATGTAGCACATATACACCATGGAATACTATGCAGCCATAAAAAATGATGAGTCTGTGATCTTTGTAGGGACATGGATGAATCTGGAAAGCATCATTCTCAGTAAACTGACACAAGAACAGAAAATCAAACATCGTATGTTCTCACTCATAGGCAGGTGTTGAACAATGAGAACACATGGACACAGGGAGGGGAGCATCACACACTGGGGTCTGTTGGGGAGGTCCAAGGGAAGAACAGAGGTGGGTGGGGAGGTTGGGGAGGGACAACATGGAAAGAAATGCCAGATGTAGGTGACAGGGGGATGGAGGCAGCAAACCACATTGCCATGTGTGTACCTATGCAACAATCCTGCATGATCTGCACATGTACCCCAGAACCTAAAGTACAATAAAAAAAAATATCATTTGACCCAGCAATCCCATTACTGGGTATATACCCAAAGGATTATAAATTATTCTATTATTAAGACACGTGCACAGGTATCTTTATTGTGGCACTGTTCACAATAGCAAAGACTTGGAACCAACCCAAATGCCCATTGATGATAGACTGGATAAAAAAAAGTGTGGCAGCCGGGCGCGGTGGCTCAAGCCTGTAATCCCACCACTTTGGGAGGCTGAGGCGGGTGGATCACGAGCTCAAGAGATGGAGACCATCCTGGTCAACATGGTGAAACCCCATCTCTACTAAAAATACAAAAAATTAGCTGGGCATGGTGGCGCGTGCCTGTAATCCCAGCTACTCAGGAGGCTGAGGCAGGAGAATTGCCTGAACCCAGGAGGTGGAGGTTGCGGTGAGCCGAGATGGCGCCATTGCACTCCAGTCTGGGTAACAAGAGTGAAACTCCGCCTCAAAAAAAAAAAAAAAAGTGTGGCACATATACACCATGGAATACTATGCAGCCATAAAAAAGGATGAGTTCATGTCCTTTGCAGGGACATGGATGAAACTGGAAACCATCATTCTCAGCAAACTGACACAAGAATTGAAAACCAAACACTGCATGTTCTCATTCATGGGTGAGTGTTGAACAATAAGAGCACACGGACATTGGAAAGGGAACATCACACACTGGGACCTGGAGGGTGGGGAGCTAGGAGAGGAATAACAGGGGGTGGGGGGATTGGGGAGGGATAGCATTAGGAGAAATACCTAATGTAGATGACGGGGCAATGGATGCAGAAAACACCACCATGGCACGTGTATACCTATGTAACAAACCTGCATGATCTGCACCCCAGAACTTGAAGTATAATGAATAAAAAATAAATAAATAAAATATGCTCTCATGAGAAATAAATACATAAATAAATAAAATATGTTGTCATGGGGGGGGGAAAAAGACCTCTGATGTCAGCATTAAAAATCCACTAGCTCAGCTTTTCCCATTCTTAATGGAAATGCATTAAATATGTATTTTATTCCAGGGCTGTTGCCTACTTTGCCATTTTTAGTCTTCCAGCCAAGCACACGGGGCACCAAAGCGGGACCCTAATCTCAGAGGAAGTGGGGTAATGGGAAAGCGTGCCAAGTCAAAACTGAGGCCTGGGGGTGCAGAGCAGTGGAGCCTGCGGTATGAGATGGAGAATGCATCACATGAGCTACGTCAGAATAAAGCAAGGCTAACCCAAAACAAATTACTATGAACCCGCAGCTCTGCTGATCTCCTTTTATAGATAGGATCGTGCCCAGTCTCAGAGACTGAAATAAAGACTGTAAATGGAGCCTTTGGAGTTTGGATATTTATGAAAACAAGAGGCCAAACAGGTCTTCAGCTGACCTGAGAGTCAGGAAATCTGAGTCTGCTCACAACTCTGCCACACTAACTGCCCAGGTAACCCTGGGCACATCACTTACCCCCTGCAGGTTACGGTTTCTTCATCTAGAGATAAGGAATTAAGTTAGACCAGTGGTTCTCAGGCATACAGGACCTGGCAGCTTTTAAAAATGCTGATGTTCCAGAATCCTAGCTCTGATGAACTAAAGGACCGTTTCTGGGCATGGGACCTCTATATCAGCATTGTTTTAAAAACGCCCCCAGATGTGTGGCACTGCTGAAGAACCAATCACACAACCCCAGTTCCTCATTTCTAAGTACTCAGAAACGCCCTTCCTAAACTGAGCGTGCATGAGAATAAGCCGGACGGCTTGTTAAAGCGTAGATTGCTTACTCCATCCCCAAAGCCTCTGATTCTGTAGATCTGGGGTGGGGCCTAATTCTCATTTCCAGAAAGTTCTTAGGTGATGGTGCAGAGATCACGCTTTTGGCTAGAGGACCTCCAGATTCCTTCCATTTCCAAAAGTCCCTGAGTCTGTATTTGAACAAGTTGATCTTATGATGTGTGAATGTTAGAGCTAGTCAGGTGGATGGCACATTAACAGACTGAGGGCCAGTTCGATGCACTCTACTTCATTGTCTTGTCAGATGGGTTAAGAAGGCCAATAAGGACCTTTACGAGCCTCCTCTTTCCCAAGGTCAGGAAGCATCAGTGCAGCAGCCACTTCCTGTCTCATCCAATGGAAGTTAAAGACATGGGTGAGTGCTAGGCTGCCCTTCACTTGAATTCTGGGCAGAGTAGCTGCTTTGTCTTCCATAAGGAATCTCCCATGATGGAACTTCCTCCTTCAGAGCAAGGTTGGGACTTTCTCAGCATTGTCAAGAGCTGTTATTCCCCCAAGGAATGTAATATCCTTTCGACCACCTACCACTCACACTGGGACACTTAGAAGCTGAGCATTAGAAATGGGTAAAGGGCATCTTAGGTAGAAAAGAGCAAGAATAAGGATTTTCTCAGTGAATAAAATGTCATTAAAAAACTAGGGCTAGGCACAGTGGCTCATGCCTGTAGTCCTAGCACTTTGGGAGACCGAGGTGGGTGGACCACTTGAGGTCAGGAGTTTGAAACCAGCCTGGCCAACATGGTGAAACCCTGTCTCTACTAAAAATACAAAAATTAGCTGGGTGGGGTGGCAGGCACCTGTTCATTCAAGCTACTCGGGAGACTGAGGCAGGAGAATCTCCTGAACCCAGGAGGCAGAGGTTGCAATGAGCCACAATAGTGTCATTGCACTCTGGCCTGGGCAACAAGCACAAAACAATGTCTCAAAAAGGAAAAAAAAAAAAATGTAGCAGGATTCCAGAGACACTGGAATACGAAGAAACCATCCATCCACAGTGTGCTGAGAACGCACGGGTTCCAGACGCGTTGACTAAGAGACACTGCCCTCGAGGAGGAACCCAAAGTTAATTTTTAGCAGGAAACAAAAAGCTTTCAGCTTACAGCCATGGACACAGGTAGTGGTGCTGGCTATAGAAGAAAAAAATTGGCTCTTGTTATTACAAAAGTTTCTTCAGAGGCGAATTGTGGCAAAGCCTAACTAATAACAAAAGAATTTCAGAAGAATTCCCCCAATGAACTTTCAAGGAAGATTTGCATTTAGATATAAATAAACTGCTGATTTCAGAGTCACTTCAGGAACTTCTCCTTTCTCATTTCTTTTCCCCAACTTAAAATCCTTTAAAGAAAAAAAGTAAAATGAGTTTTATTCCACAATTTCAGACGAGGCCAACATTGCAAATACTGCTGGGAGAAGGAAACCAACAATCGGCCGTGTTGAAAAAAGCCCTGAGCCTAACTCTAGGCCTGTTACCCTCTGTCCAACTCATGATCACTAGCAATGCAGGCCACCTCTTCATTCTTATTAGCTGTGAAGTGAAGGGATTAAACCAAGAGGCCTCAGGTTCTGTCCTTCTCAACATAATATCTGTAACTGAGGTTTCAAGTAATATAGAGTATGAATGGCCACGACAAGTACTTTCCATGGAATTATTTTAATATAATGAAGGATCTCTGCCAGGAGAAGATTCTAGAAGGAGAAGGAGGAATATTTCATCTGTCTTATTTTTATACAGTTGAAAGGCCAGCCCTTCTGTGCCTTACAGAAATCTCAAGGATTCATTGCAACTGTGTGGTGCCTCTTTGAGGCATCCTACACA